CCCCCCCCCGGCTCCCCACCAGCTCATTAGAAAACAAAAGCTACCACTTAGGTGTTTCAGGCCTAGCCCGTGAAATTTACAAGAAACTGAAACCTCTCCGGAATGGAGTCACACAATTCCTTCGGCCAGATGGCAGAGACCGCAGCTCTCTCTAAAGCCTGGTCTATCTGACAGTGTCCCCTGAGGGTCCTCTCCTTTGGTCCCTGTGGCCTCACACCTCCCTTCCCACCCCTAGCACGCCAACCTTGTTGCCAACACCCTTTGCCACCCTCAGAAACCAGATGCTTACTGAGGATGCTGGTCCCCGTGTCGCTCAAGGGCATTCCCGGAAATGGGAGGAAGGGGGAAGTGGTCGCGGGAGGAGCAGTTTTTCATCTCCTAAGGGTTTTTTTTGGAGAGGATTTTGCTATAGGGTGCATGCACTGGCCAGAAAGACAGAGCGAGACAGAGACACAGAAAGCGAGAAATCACCCCCCAGGGGGGATGGCCACACCGCAATCCCTTCTCCTCCATTCTCCTCTCGGGATCTTGGGCATGCACGCACATGCGCCTGGCGTGAGTTTAAACCACTAGGTCCGGGACTCGAACCACGTTTGACTACATGGGAGTGCAGCGACATAGCCATTACGCTAACTGCCGGTCCCCATCACCTAAGTTTCTAAAAGAGATCTCTCAAAAAAAAAGATTTTGCACTGAGTACGTGCTCGCCACCCCCCAAGGCTGAAGGAGACCTGGGTGAATATCTGTAAGTGACAAGGTCATGCCCATGAGGAGCCATGGGTCAGTCAGAGTGGGAAAGTGGCAGCCGGGCACTTGGGGGGCCCATTTCTCTGCCCGTTCCCATCCTGCTGAGCTGCTTGCTGGATCCAGGCCATGTCAGCAGAGCTGGGTGTCCTGGGACGGGGCAGGGTGGGGCAGGCGGTGCCAAGAAGACAGACGGGAGGAGCTTCAGGTCTGCAGACCCCAAAGCTCTCCAGTCCTGGTCATCACAGAGACATCTGTGGGGGCTGCCGGGCTCATGCTGGGCTCTGCTCTTCTGAGCCGAGTCGGTGGGTTCCGGGGTTTCTGTCCCACCGGAGCGTGTCCCCTCTGGGACGATCCGGAAGCCGGTGCAGGCAAGCACACTGCTCCTTAACGCCGAGTTCCGCTGTGTTACTTAGGTCTGTGAGAGCACGCTAAAATGCCTTGAAAGTGGAAGCAATGGAGCTGAACTTGAGATGTTTCAGTAGACACAATGGAGTCGGAAATACCTGCGAAGGCAAGTGTAAGGAGCGGCAGCAGGGAGTGACAGTACTGCCCTGTCACTAGACTAGCCGGGCAGCCGAGCCAGGCAGAGGTGTCCCCTGGGGTCTGACCGACCATGGCTTAGACGCAGGCCCTCCTCTGGGTGGACAGACCTGCTCTGTGTGTCAGCTGTGGGACCAGCTCCTCCGGTGTGGGCCTGGGTGCCGGCTCTGCGTGTCCCCACAACTCAGCTCGTCTGCCGGCAGTCTGCAGACCTCCTGACCCCTGTCTGTGGGGGGATCGTGGACCACAAGCACCAGGCCCAGAGGTGCTGCAAGGGAGACCACAGTTAGCAGCCAGAGCCTTCGCAGTCGGCAGCACGGGGGCTGCTCCGGGAGGACGGGCAGCGGGCCTCACAGCTTCAAGACTCCAGGGGAGTCTCTAAGCCAGGTCTGTGCCCTGCAAGGTTTAGCACTGCAGCTCGGGTGGGGCCACGGGTGGCCCCGGAGATGCACGGGCCAAGCCGAATTATCTTTAATTTAGAGACTTCATGCTTGTAAATGGAAACCGAACCCTGAGGGGTACCTATATTAGAAAACTTGATTTTCGAGACTTACTTCAATCATCTTCAGTTGATTCGTGGAACTTGGTGGTGCAGTGCAGCACTCTGCAGAGCTGACCCCGTGGGAGGGTTCTGGGTGTGCTCTGGAGACCTCCCGGAACTCGCCAGAAGGGGGCCTGTGATCTAGGGACGGGAGGCAGGAGGTGGATCGAGGCAGTGACCTTAGAGGGCAAGCTGTCTCTGCCTCTGTCACTCTCTATTTCTTACTGGGGGTGGGGGGGATAACCTTAAAAATATTTAGTTGGTGTTGAGGCAATACACAGTGAGTACACAACCCTCAAGTGCACAGCTGCACGTACTTGAGAACCCCCGGGCACGTCCACGTGTAAACATGTCAGCCGAATAGACCATTCCCAGGAGGCTCCTTGCCCCACCCCAGGCGCTGCTGCTCGGGCTGACGATGCTCTGCCGGCTGCCGGGGTCACTGCCGTAAGCCGCTCCTGCCGGGCCT